AAAGAGAGAGAGAGAGAGAGAGAGAGAGAGAGAGAGAGAGAGAGAATTTTGGCTTCATGCAAGGAAATAAGTCTTTCTTTCTCTCCCCCAAACTCTTCCAGAAATGAGTCTTTGTCGCACCGGCACAGCCTTTTGGAGTAGGATGCCTTGCGGGGTCCCAACGACTAATTTCTGGTGGAGTTTGGGGGAGACAAAGAAAGACTTTTGCTGCTTTCCTTGCCTGCAGCCAAAAGCAGAAGAAGAAAGTAGTAGAAAGAAGAAGCCTGGTGGCCAGGCCAGGCCAGGCATGTGGGGCGAATGGGTCAAGTTCCCCCCACCGCCCTTTCCCCCCCTCTCCTCACTACCTCATGTTATTTGCAATACAAGCAACACAAGCGTTATGTTCCTGTGGGCCATGTGGGCGACACAGCCTTGTGTTCCCGCGCATCCTGGATTAATTGTTTTGGGGGGTGCTTTGGGGGTGACATTTCTCTGCGAACCACCAAAATTTTCTCCTCAGCCCACTGCTCTAAAACACCTGAAGGACAAGAGGAAATGGACAGAACCTAATCAAGGAGAACTTCAACCTAGAAATAAGGAGAAATTTCCTGAAAGGGAGAAAATTACTCAGTGGAATGTCTTGCCTTCAGAAGTTGTGGAATGTGGATGTTCCACCATTGCAGGTTTTTAAGAAGAAATGGGACAGCTATTTGTCTGAAATGTTATAGGGTGTCCTGTTTTGGCAGGGGTTGGACGAGAAGGTTCCAAGGTGCCTGCCAACCCTGTTATTCTGTATATTTTTCAATGCCCACATTCATTTTTTGCAAGCTCCTCAAAAGAAGAAGAAGAAGAAGAGAGAGAGAGATGTATCCTAGAAAGCATTAATGGTTTATAACATTTATAAGAGTCACACATTTCTGGCAGAAGGCTAAGACAGATAAAATTGCCTTGGTTAAAGGTGAGGCTACAACTCAATTTCACAGAAGAAAAATGGCTTTAAAATATCTTTATCAGAGTTAGTCAGGAAGCTCTGCTGAATTGTTTCAGAAGTGGGAAGTGAATGTGAAGGCTGTATTTTGACAATAAGGATAGCCTCTGAAAATGTCATCAAAGAAGAATAAATTTCTACCTTTGCAAGATTGGGCATTTGACTCAACTAAATGTAAATAACATTTCTGGCCTTTTAGCTTTCTTTCTAATTTCTTTCTTGTTCCTGTTTCTGTTTCTCTCTCTCCCTCTCTCTGTCCTATGAGATGGCAGCAACAGAGGGACAGAAAAAAGAAGGAAGATGGCATTAAACCAGCCCCACTTCTAGTGGGCACCAAAAGCCCTAGGAGGCTTAATTTTACCATCTTCTTCCCTTTGAATTCTAGAACATCTTTACATTTTTCACATCACATTTTACTCCTTTTAAGGCAAGGCAGACAACTGATTCCTGAAGAAAATCTTTCTATGTGGTTTTTCTGTGGTCTTTTTAGACCAGGAGTATCAAACTGGCTTCCCGCGGGCCAGATGCATTATATGCAGGCCACCCCCACCCCAGCTCCACAGAGGGAAAAAAAACCCAGTTGTGATAGATCATGTGATGGTAACAATGCAAGTTTGACACCCGTGTTCTCAACTCAGAAAACTATAAAAATATAATGAAGTCTAAACTAGCTTTACATTTTTAAAAGCAATACATTTACTCTAAAGCCCCAATATCTGATGACCTATGGGCATATCCACCATATTTTCAGGGTAATGCTCAAGAATGTTATCCAGCCACATCAGCAAAATCAGTTCAATATTTTTAAACATAGGACCACAATGGGTGTATGTCATGGCCAATTGTCAGGCACCACAAGCATTCATTGAATTCAAAGCATAGAAGAGTTTATTAGTGCAATCTCTAAGAACCTAATTAACTAACAGTCAAAACTAAATTGATACAAGATAAGGGACCTGTACTTGAATCTCTTGTGGCAACACAAGTACTCTAAACTTATGACAGGTTTAACAACACTTTCCGGCTCAGCCTCTTATCTTACACCAACAAGCAATAACAGGCTCAGAGTAAGGCTCCCTGTCTCTTCACTCAGCCTTTCAGGGTTTCTGGCAGGAAATATCTCTTAGAGCAGGGGCATAAACCTCACCAATGGTGCTCAGCAATGGCAGTCCAAGTGCTAGGGCCTAAGTGCAAGGCATAATTGTCCCTCGCCACCACCCAGAACAGCTGAGGGGAAGGAGGTATTGACCTTCACCAGTCTGGTTGTGGGAAACAATGTTGGAGCACATGGTTCCCACCAGTTCCACTTCCTAATGCTAACTCCCTCATCTCTTATCTTCTTCGGAATTGACTTTTAAAGAATACCTTCAGCAACAATTCCATTTGCCATTCCAAGTATGTTCCCCCCCCTTCAACTGTTTCACTACATCCAAATACTAACTAGGCCTGACCTTGCTCCGGTCACCTGCTACCCTCTCCTTAAAACCCCTACTCTCAAAAAAATCTTGATCTTTGGGAATGTGCAAGCCATGACTTTACATACTCTGCCCCCATGGGCAAACCTGCCTCCCTACAATCTTCATCCATTCTTCCCCATAAATATTTGGTATATAATAGGTCAGATCCCCTTCCCTTGAATGGGCCAACATGGGCAGATGCCTCTACGTATAATGGAAGCAAGTTACCCTCTGCTTGCCTTTCCAACAGAATTTCCTAGGAAATACAACCATCTACTGAAACTTGATCACGGTCATTTGAAAGGCAGCTAGGCAAGTCAAAATGAAAGTGGCAAGCTAATAGGCTAATAGATCATCAGTAAGGATTTTGATGGTATTTTTAACAACAGCTCCAGGGAAGCTAAATCCAAAGTCAGTGGGAATCTTTATATTTAATTAATCCAATTGTTCCAAAACCTACCTCAAAGCTACTTCACTTCAAAAATATATAAGCTGCCTCCATTTCTTAATGAAAAAAATAGGCATCAAAGTTGCTGGAGGAAAAATGCAAATGAATTAGATAGCCGTGAGGATTGCCAGCCCTTCCATTGCTTAACTTTTGCCAAACTAGAGCCAGAATAATGGGACATTTAGGTCCTGGACTCTGGTTTCTGCCAGGAACAAAGAGTTTAACACAGGAACATCTAATATTGTGCACATCAACTCCAGTGGTGGGATTCACATTTTTTTTTACCACCGGTTCTGTGGGCGTGGATAGGTGAGTGCATTTTGCGTGGGCACTCCCGCTGTGCATGTAGAGAGTTTGCTACTGACCTGCAATCCTGCACTCTCCCTGTGTCCTCAACAGCTCATGCACGGCAATCCACTGTGCCGTGCAAAGCAGCTGAGCTTCAAAACCAGGAAATTAACATCAGTATAGAGCTGAGGCGGGCGGGAAGGCCCAGCAGCTGATCATTGGAGTGAACCAGTTCACTCACAGATGATCCTTGGAGCTACCGGTTCAGGTGAACTGGGCCGAACTGATAGAATACCACCACTGATCAACTCCCAGAATTCCTATGCTAACTGGGAAATTCTGGGAAAATAAGTTCTCAAGTCTTAAAGTTGTAAAGGTTGCCCCCTCCTCTGCTTTAATGTATTAGGTTATATGTGATTTATACTAAAATGGTTTTACATGCTAGTTTTTATTTTCCCAATTATCCTTTTTAAACAGGATAAACAGTTCTTTTGTCCAAACAGAACAATAATACATCTGTCCACTTTTATAGACAGTGAAGGAAAACTGAACTAGCAGCTTTGAGATTTGAGAGGGCTGCATATGCTGATTGTATGTCTCTGTGAAAAGCAGAAATCTGAATTGCTGATTACTTGCAAAGAGGATCATGTTGGATACATAGTTGGCAGAATATAAACTTTGGTTTATTAAGTTACTTGAATAAATGGGCTAGAGTTTGCCTATCACTCAAATTAAGCACATAGGAGAAAAAAGCCTGTTCTTTTCTATTAAGTTCAATGTATCTTTTATGTATACATTCAATAAATAGATAGCTTGCCCCTAAGCATTTAAAATGCTGGCAGTGTCAGTTAAAATCTTTATTCCCTCCTCTTTCTTCAACTTGTTTTTAGAAATGACTCCCACACGCATTTTATTTTATTTTGTATTTATTTTCTTGGATTTATAGCCTGCCTTTTGCATAGCAGCTCACAGCAGTGTTGGATTTAATTATCGTTTAATTGTCCACATACTAAGAAGGTACACAAAATGAAGGAACATGTTTTCTAAGATGTTTTTTTAATGAGAAGTTTCGGTAAAAGGGTAATTGAAACAGCTACATAAGTGAACATAACTAAAAAGAAACAGCTATGATTTTGCTTCTGCTCAGCCCATGAATAATGATACTCTTAAAAAAATAATTTCTATAGCCAATATTTGACAAGCATGTTAGCCAATAATACGGCAGGTATGGAGTCCAGCCTTGTTGTTTAGAGCCATTTTGAATTCAAAGGAAAAATGATTCAGAGCTAGATCTAAGTCTTTTATTCTTACCTATTTTAAATGTATTACTCTGAAAAAAAAGCAATGAGAGGTGTACTGCACTGATGCCAACTTCAGTATAATGGAACACCCACACACAGATAGTCAGATAAAAATTTGTAAGTCGATTCAAACTTTATGTTCTCAACATAAAGAGAAGTGAAATTACCCTCTCAGTTCTTTAAGCTAAACCTCAGGAAAATATTGCCTATATTTTAGCACTGCCCACTATTCCTAGTAAGTAATATTTATGATCATCCTCCACAAAGTTTTAATCACTAACAGTATTGACTTGTTTCCCCTATTTTTGCAAATGGCTGTCATTTTTAATACTTTTAGTCCTGTATTATATTTTAGGGTCAAATACAATGGATAGACCATTTTCTAGGATGTACATTCTTCTCTTCTAAAACATGTCTGGACAATATTACTAAATGGCTTAGTCTTTTCATTAATAATTGAGTAGAATCAGCAAGTTTCCCATGGCTTTTTTGCTTAAGTCTGAGCAATACAAAAGTTGTGCCATACTTGGATTTTTAAGCCTTTCCCTATAGTAATGTTAAGGAGTTTATTTGCTGGCAAAGACCAAAATAATCTGTAATATGTTTCCATGAAATGGGTGCAATGTTAATTCCTTCCCACCATGCCACCATTATTTATGCAAGTGAACTTTATTAAGAATCTTTGGAATTCATAAAACATTTTATTTTATACACAAACATACAGTAGGTATCACCGCCCCTCGTAGAAATTAGCAGCATTATCAAAACCAAAAAACCCATAAACTCTCCGAAAGACAAAGATTTCTGCTTAAACAACTGAGGCACAATCAACTGGGCGGTTTACTATACACACTTAAGTCATTCCCACTTAAGTCATTCCAACTGTGACAGATGGAAAACCTCCAACCAGATTGTGCTTTCGAATATTTACATATAGCACTGACTTCCCCACATTATCATCAATTTATCCGCAGGTTACAATGCAGTTTGTTTGGGGGTATTTTTTTCGTTTATTGTTTTTTTTTAATAGCACTATATGAAACACATAAAAAGTATAAATTATAAGCAACAATGAGGTGATCTCCCATCTGAGCCAGAAAACATGCACATTATTTTAGCATATAAGCCCAACATCCCCTTCATCAGAAACCTGTGAAAAGAAGCTCCACTGTTTGCATATCAGTTAAAAGAATGATTATATCCATTTAAAATATACATTCTTGGCTGATCATTGGATTTTGGGTCTCAATTCTTAAACAAATTAACATCTTGTATACCTTCAAGTTAAGCATGAATATCCAGTGTAAATCTAAGTATAACCTGACAATATCAAATGCCCTCAAGTCTTAAAAAGAATTAGTGAGTTTTCTTTGTGGCCATTTTCACTTGCATTTCATATAAATATTATTTGGACATTGAGTAGAAACCTTTTAAAATCATTTTAATCTGCTTTCAGGCACTATTCATGGAATATGCATAGCTATTGCTATATTCCAATAGCTTAATGCACTTTGTGATTCACTAGATCCAAAGACAGAATATGAAAACACAGACATTATTCTTAACAAGACATTGCCACTTCTTTTTTGACCACTACTTATTCACCTTGGCAGAGTTAAGAGACATACTTTATTTTAAACAAGATGATCTTATTGCATTCTAATTACAACATAACAGTAAACATATTTTACAGAAGCTGCAGGATTTTAAATCGAAAATTGCCATTTTATTTATTATTGAGACATATATGTCAAAATTTGATCATGAGATTGGAAGATCATGTTTACAATTCGTTATATTATCACCATAAATAATAAGTAGCCCTAATTCCAAATTAAGGCTCACTTTCATTCATTTCAATGGAGTTAAGCCTTACATCAGAGGTGGGGAAACATAGCCCCTTTATAACTTCTGGACTTCCAACTACCAGAATTCCTGAGCCAGCATGGCTTAGGAATTCTGGGACCTGAAACCCACAAATAAATAAAAGGATCATTGTTCCCCACCCCTGCTTCACATGGTACAAATTATTTCCACTATTTAACCAGTTGTCCAGAGATAGGAACCTCTAAAGATTCTTGCCAATCTATCACAGGATTTTCCAAAACCAGAAAATGAGTAAGGAGAAGCTTAAATTTTACTTGTCATGGTTATAACTAATTTACATATATTTATTCAGAGAGATTAGATAGGAGGATTGGCACTTCATCATTAGAAATTCTTATGCAATTAATTTCCCACCAGAGAATTTGATATTTCATTATTCAAAAAAAGCTGTAATTGAATTACATTTTAATGTTTTCTGGCACGGGTAAAAAGTTTGACAATCAAACCATGAACAAGACGAAAAGTCAATCAGTATTTCTATCTGTTCATTAGATGGGAACCAACAAATGGCCACATTCTTTCTTGTATATATGCTAATTTTAGTATCCTGATTACATTTCCTACTAAGAGATGATAATTATGGACAAAGGAAGGAATCAAAAGCCCATTCAAGAGAACGTAGGGGGGATGAGATGTAGGATTAAGGCTTTCACAAATAGCTTCAATGACAAGACATAATGGACCACTACAATGGCCATAGCTGCATAGCAACATTCTTAATAATATGTGCTAATTTTAGCTGGAGTTGGGTTGCCATCTGACAAGGATTGTAGATCATTTTATAGCAGCTCTAGCAATGCTCAGAAATAATTGCATCCAGCCCAAGTTGCCTTTGCAGCAAAGCTCATGGCAACACTGTTAATGTCACTTCTCCCTTTTGGTGCTTCAGAATAGCTACGGCTTGCTCATGAGTCACCCCTTCCAGAGACTGTCCATTAACAGCTAAAATCTGGTCACCACGCTTCAGTCTGCCATCATCTGCAGCTGCTCCCTAGAAAAAAAGGAAACAAAACAGATCAGAAACAATGCACATCATCAGCCGAGCAATGTTTTGGGACTAAAATTATAGATAACCAATTAAAGCAAACACGGAGAGCGCAGAGCAGTCATAGGATGACCATTTTTCAACCATTGGGGACATACTGGAATTACAGTTCCAACAAAATGCCAAGCCAGTAGGATTAATTTAGTGCTAGATCATGTGATACTAAATGGGAAAGGCTAAATTGGAGGGTTCTTGGTTGAGAAAGCTTCTCCTCAGACAAAACTTTTGCTTGTTATAGTCAAATTTATACTGTATAGCTAACTTAGCAATTTTGACAAGGTTATCTCCCTCACAGAAAGTGATACAGTGGCATGCATGGATCTAATCACCGAGGTTCACATATACATTGTGTACTGAAACTGGGAACAGATGGTGTAAACTGTCCCACAATTCTTTTCTTTAAAAAGTAACAAAAGCATCAGCTGGGTGAGCTCAAGACACTGATGGTTAGCCTTTCACAGGCACATCCTTCAAAAAAAAAAAATCTTCTCTATGGAAATCACTACTTATTTTTCTAGAATTTGAATCATGCCAATTGGACTTCTTTTCTTGAAGAAGCTTCTTGGATAAATATCAAAATCATTTCATACCAACAAAGAAAAGAATGCCAGTTGTCATGACAAAAGTTCCAGACAACTCAAACTAGATGACTGAGAATATTCATTGACCATACTTATTTTTAATTTTATGGAATTAAATAAATACCTGACATAACAGCTAAATATTTTTGGACTGCCCAGATTCTACTGTTATCCTTTTTCTTTTCCAATTCACTTTTATTATCCCATATCTCATAATTTTTGTTAAGACACATCAGTATTGGAAAAGACCCTATTTCCATTTTTAATGTACATTGTATACCATAGCAAAGGTAAACATATTAATAAATGCACAACCCTTAATTATAGTTGCAATAAAATAGTAAAAACATGTCCACCAGAAGGAAGAAGCAAAGAGATATTAAAAGGTACATGATTTGTTCCATTAATGTTCATTTCTCATTGTGTAAATTCATTCAGAGCACAGTGTTTTGGGGGATGAGGCAATATAATCAGTTGCAACCTCTTTGGAATACAGAGTTACAATGTCACTGAAAAAATGTGAATTACAACTGGTCCTTGCACTTATGACTGTTGCAGCATGTCCATGATCTCCTGATCAAAATTTAGGCACTTGGCAGCTGGCATGCATTTACATGGTTGCAATGTGCCAGGGTCATGTGATAGCCATTCATGACCTTTCAAGATGGTTTCCAACAAACAAAATCACTGGGAGGGGGGAGTGGATTCATTTAAGGACCTTGTGGTTCACTTAACAACAGCAGAGATTCACTTAACAATGGTGGCAGAAACTATCGTAAAATTAGATGTGACTCACTTAACCACAGAAATTGGTTGCTTAACAACAGAAATTCTGGTGTTAATCATGATTGTAAATTGAGGATTATCTATAGTATATGGAGTTTTCTTGTAAGATCATACTAGGCCTCTGCCTGATTTTCCATGACATAAGTAAGTAGTCCCTATCCTAGGTTTTACTTGAATGTTTGGCAGGTTTTTTTAGTGACATTTGTTTTCTTCATAATGCCTATTCATTTATGTAACTTGTATATTTTAATGAGTTACGATATGTTATTTTGTTATACTGTTTTATTATTTTACTCTTTGTATTAAGAAAGGAAGATAGGAATGTCAATTTTTCAGAGTCCTATTGGACAGGCAAGAAAACTGATTAGGAATATGATCTATAATTTATATATGTGGTTTGTACTAAAATAATGCGGGATATTTCCTGACTGAATAAATAACAACCTATGGAGGGTCAAGATATTTCAGTGGTAAAGATTAACAGTGATATCACCACATGTTCCAGCTCCAGTCTGAACTAATTTGTTCTGAAATGGTTTCTTAAAATTTGCACAATATTTCCACATGTAGCATCGCCCTTTAAGTGAAGCTTTTAATAGTGTAGAGGAGGGGCCTCCAACCTTGGCAACTTGAAGACTTCAACTCCCAGAATTCCTCAGCCAGCTTTGCTTCAAGTTGCCAAGGTTGGAGACCCTTGGTGTAGAGGAATGTGCCCAATATTTAGAATATAAACAGACCCAGAGGGCCCAGTACTTTGTCCCAAAAGCTGATAATCGATTTAAGGATAATATTCACTTCAATTAAACTACTGACACACAAAAAAAATTCAAGGAAGATTATGGAAATTGTTTCAGTTTTCTATATATTATTGTAACATACAAAAAAACAATCTAACGTTTTTCTCATGTTCCTCATCAAAAGAGTAAGTCAAGTTGAATATCAGTGCAAAGGGCCATTACAGAGTAACATTTTGGAGTACCTTGGCAAAAATGGTCTTGACATATATAGGGAGGTCTCCTTGTGGGCTTCCGAAGCCTCCTACAATGCTAAAGCCCAATCCATCCGACCCTTTCTCCAACACAATGATTTTAGGCTGAGGTGCTCTGAAAAAGACAGCAAATACCCATCAATACAGTGCTTACTTAATATGAGGTAAAACAGCATCACAATAGCTCAAGGGTTTCCAACCTTGGCCAGTTTAATACTTGTGAACTTCAACTCTGGGAGTTGAAGTCCACCAAGTCTTAAAGTGGCTGCCTTGCACTGATTTTGTCTATTTTATTAATGGCTCTCAAACTTAAGATCTTTTTTTAGCTCTAGGTGCTCTTGATGAGAGGTGTTAAAGTTTGGAATACAAAGTATGGGTTCCATCATTGATTCACCCAGGAATTTGCTATGGGCTTGCAATGATGCTGGTCAATTCCCTTACATTCTCCAATACTCCTCTGTTTTTATTTTCAGCAGCTGAAATTAGTAAATATAACATTTCCCATAACTGAAATCGCTGCAGGTTGCTGATCTCTGCGGCTATTTATACTGTAAGAATTCATGACACAAAGAATGCATAGCACTAAACACTACAGACCAGGAATACCTGCGTTTTCTAATTTGCTTGAAACCTTGGTTTGTAAGGTAATTGTTTTTGGCAGAAACCTTTAGCATAATTCATCTACTTCCTTTTTTTTCCTGGCCAGATGCCCTTCAGATCTGTTGGGAGTACAAGGAAGTCTGGAGAAGACAGAGTTAGTTGAGGCAGAGAACCAGTTAAGAGAGTTGTGGAATTAGATCTAAGCAGGCTGGGTGACATCCTAGGTCAGGATTAATTCCCTTGAAAGGATGATGTGATGGAATGTAGTCTGAATTCTCAGGAGGGAGGGTGTGCATTTCAGAGATGCAAAAGACAACTCAGTTCAGATAGTTTGTGTGAGAGAAAGAGAATGAAGATGGTTACTCCTTAATAATTCCAGAGTATATGTTTTGGTGGGGGGATACGTTGCTTTAGTTTGGCAAGACTTCTATTTATGGGTGAGTAACAGTGAAAAAAAATCTGTTTGGGAGAATCACATTGTGTATTTTGGTTTTGGGGGGAGCTTGACAGATGGCAAGCTACATGGAGAAACATGTTCTGCACACAATCAAGTGGGGAGAGAGCTTTGTCCCCAGTATTCCCTTCATCATTGTCTTTCTCTGTCTGTGATGGGCATAAATATGTCTGCTTGGTTCTACACAGGCAGAATCATTCCACTCAGGATGCAGCAACAAGCTAATGCTCTGCCTGGAATGGAGTGGCTTCAGTCTTCTTACCCAACTTAATAATGGTGCATGCTATTTGGGAATTACTGCCGCTAGATTAATTAAGTGACATGACCATATTTACAGTAATACATTCCTGCAACATAGATGTAGAGATAGGTTTTTAGGTTTATTTAACTATAAAGATGGTAACAAGGACAATCTCTATTGGCTTTGTGCCTAGATGAAGCAGCAATAAGAAATAAGAGCTCAGCAACTGCTATTCCTAAAGCTTCGACAGGCATCTGACTACAGGAAACTAAGAATTGGAACAATTCTCTTCTTCTACACCAGGGTGTTCAACCTTGGTAACTTTTAAGACCTGTTGACTTCAACTCCCAGAATTCTTCAGCCAACATTGCTGGCTGGGGAATTCTGGGAGTTGAAGTCCACAGGTCTTAAAAGTTGCCAAGGTTGGACACCCCTGCTCTAGACAAATCAATTAAATAAGAAAGTACTTGGCAAAAGATTGCCAAGTCTCTTCAAGAAAGATGTATTTCAAATGAATATATGCAAGAATTAATTCAATATATTAGAGCAATATATGCCTGTGTGCTGCATTCAGCTTGATTTTTAAAAAGAAGTTCGTAGAGCATTTATCAAGACATTTTTGGGAAGATTCCACATTTAATTTCTCTCACATAAGATCATTGCAGTTGTCATAAATCATCTCAAGCGAAAACACAACCAGGCAGAAGGATAATAAACATGACAACATGTCAGTGGGGGAAAACCCACCCAACCTCAGAAGATCTGCTTGTTCTTTTGATCAGTCAAAAGAACGAAAACAATTTTTTTCCAGCAGTCTGAAAAACCCACTGTAGTATATTTTGCGCTCTTGGAAACATTATCTGAAATTAGAAGCTTGAAAGCAGAAATATTTACATTAACTATCAGGAGAGAGGACCATAAAAACTTTCTACAAATGCTACAAAATGGATATGGGGGACAGAAATTAGAAATATGGAAAGCATGCCTGATTCCAATTTATGAACTAATAGCCATGACTTGTATTTGGACCACCATATATTCTGACGCACAGGGAGAATGATTGAGGGCTGCTTCTATGTCCAAATATCTGTCAAACTTAAGGGAAGCAGAATTACACAATTCATGTTCAATATAATTCTGTACTGGGTAGAGTTTATACAGGACTCAGCTCTTGGTAGAGTTTATATAGGACTTGGATCATATGAATAATCGCCGACCCTACAATAGACAAGGAAAAAGATTCATTCTCAAAGTTGAGAACAGCAGAAAACTGAAATAATCTGACAGTGTAGAAGATACTAATGCAGACCTGAACATACTAATGCAGACCTCTGACCTGCGGGCAACATTTGGCCCGCAGGCTGTTTTTGTCCAGAGGCAGCATTGGAGGGAGGCATCAGTGGGGGGAGGGCAGGTCAGCACTGGCACGTGGTGGGGTGACATTGATGGGGGCAGGGTAGGAGCACTCCACAATAGTCCCAGTTTCTTATGTGGGAAAATTCTTTCTTTTGGGAAAATTAATTGCTCATCCCTAATCTAATGTAATACACAAAATCCAAAGTCTTGCAAAAAAAAAAAATCAATATACATCTGTCTATCAGTCTATCTGTCAGGTTTCCAAGTGATGAAATCTATTTAAAAAGAATAAATCAAAGTCCATCTTCCAAGACCATTTCTTTTATTTAGGAAAGCATCAAATTGGCAAAGTCCATGGTAATTCCAGATCTGACACAACCCGGAATTACCCCACAATATTAGAAGTTAGAAACAACCCCCAAAAGTCACATTCTCCAACAGAAGTACTTCAACGTTGCTTGATGTCATAAATCTCCACCTCAAGGGGCCCTAGCAAGGACAGCTTGTTTCCCATGGGAAGAAAGATCACCTAGCCAAAACATCTCTCTTTATCTCCACTCCTCCACCCTTAGGAATGTGTCAAGACTGAAACCCTTCCCCCCATTACTAGCACAGAGAAAGTAAAAAGAATATATACTGAGCCTAACTAAAATGGCAACACACATGTCAATTTAGGGTTTGACACTATCTTCGTAACAGCATTTTCATTATTCACCATACTTGCCCATCAATACGACACAAGCCTTATTTTGAACATGAATCTGTTATTTCATCTATAGATTATCAACAAATGTGTGTACTTACTCTGGGTATTCAGAATGATGCTCAGTGGGTGGAGTAAAGTTAGTGCTGGAAGTCATATTCTCTATCTGGCTGGCAATGGCACTGATGTTGGTATCAGCCACTACCTATAGTGTAATAGAAGAAGAAACAAGTATCAACAATTACTACTGTTAGAAAAATTCTAGCAATGGGCTATATTTGATGGATATATTAATGGACCAATGAGAAGTCAGCTTGCTTGCAATGTAGCTTGCTTAAGGCTCAAGTGAACCACTGATGGATTAATAAGTGAACCAAGAACATGTTTATGCAGCTACTCCTTTAAAGAACTGATTCAGCCACCCAAATTGGACCTGGGGGAGCAAAAAGTTCAGCCCACAGATGGCTCTTTTAAGCCTCAAAGTTCATTGTTAAGTGTTAAGTATTTCCTGTAAGTTTTATCTTCAAATACAGGCAATATGTCAATTTAACTCAACTTTCCAGGTAGAATGAAATCACTGCAAAACTGCTTATATTTCCTGGTTGTTTGTTTGCTTTTAATGGCAATAATCTGTGTGTGTTTGTGTGTCATTGGCAGAGGAAGCACGCCAAAGTTCAAGAACTCACAAAAAGCTTTTCTTTATCTCATTGCCAGGACTGCAAACAGCTGATTCAATTATCTAGGAGCACCCAAACAGCCAGGCTGGATCAAATATTCCCCAGAGATCCTAATCTCTCCTTTGCAAAGAGCATTAACACATTTCTTTGTGGATCTGCCCAAGGCATCCTGACAATTAGCATTTCCACAGCCCTATCTCCAGTCATTTGAACTTTCCTATCCATTTTATCATGAGGTCATTTTGCTGATAATAGAATTACTTAATGATGTGTCAGTGATGAATATCAGATTTTAAAGAATGAATTCACTTCTGTGATATGAATTCAGGCAAAGCGCACAGTTATTTAAACACAACGTACTATTCATATTTTTACAGACATATTTGGGTATTGATACAGACGGTGTGAATATGGCAAGCTATTAAAATGACTAATACTTAAAAAAAATTAGCCATACATGTAATAGATTAAGGCTTTAATCTATTTAATTTAAAATGTGTGATAGCAAAATCCATATTTTATTTCTCTAAGTTAATTGTTTTTTAAGTAAGAAACATATTGCAGGAGCTAGGCATTATTTTAAAACTTGAACAGTCTGCTTCTCTAGAAGTGCTAATGTAACTGATGATGTATTATTTTTATCTTATAAGCCAGTAAACTGAGTTCCCTGCGTAGCTAAAATATTACTGCCTATGTACTATTTTAAAAAATAAGTATTAGCAATTTGTATTAGTATTTGTATAATAGTAGAATTTGGCTCTATCCTTGGCTGTCAATGTTATTTTCCACATTATTTTAAAGCAGCTAACTATATCATTTGACTTAACTGCACATTCCCATGTCATCTGCTCTAAAGCAAAAGTTTGTCTCCTCTCCAAAATCATTCAGTTTTTTTCACTTGAATTTTCACTGGATGTGGTTCTTGCTTGATATGGCTCTAGCAGCCACTTCAAATAGATTCTATAAATATCAGATCAGGCACCACTCGCCATACCAGGGGTGGGCAACTTTACGATTTGTGGACTTCAATTCCCAGAATTCCTGAGTCAGCAATGCTGGTTCAGTAATTCTGGGAATTAAAATCTACAGGTAGTAAAGGGGCCATAGTTGCTCACCACTGCTCCATACACTGAACATATCATTGACCTGATTCTCATTGCCTAAACTTGAGCAATTTATGAGCTTCAACTGTTGGCTTAGAATTCTGGGAGTTGAAGTCCACACATCTTAAAATTGCTAAAATTGAAAAACACTGTGCTATAAATTGTGCAGCCTCTGAATCAATTTGCAATATTTCTTCCATTTCTTTCAAAATTGATCTTTTGAAATAGAACAAGGAATAAGTAAGAAAATATGTCAGTGTGCTCTCCTTTTCAAAAAATATATTTTTATTAGGATATTTAATTCCATCAAAGTGTTACTCTCAAGGCTGGTTTATAATACTTTATATATCCTTACTAAGACCACACCAGTTTTGGTCATCGCATTGCAAAAATGGTTTGAAGACTTTGGAAAAAGTGAAAAGAAGAGCAATTAAGACAATTCAAGGCTTGGAGACTAAAACATATGAAGAATGGTTGCAGGATTCGGATTTGGCTAGTCCAGAGAAAAGAAGGACTAAGCGGGACATGATAGAGGTATTCCAGTATTCCAGTATTTGAGTGACTGCCAGGGGATCAACTTAATTTCCAAAGCACCAGCAGGACAAGAAACATTGGATGGAAATTAATCAAGAAGAGAAGCAACCTGGAATTGAAACTTCCTAATAAAGGGGACAATTAACCAGTGGAATAGCTTGCAGTCAAAAGTTGTGGGTGCTTCATCACTGAAGGTTTTTAAGAAGAGACTGGACAGTCACTTGTCTGAAATGGTATAAAGCAGTGGTGGCTTAGCTTTTTTGGATTCCTGTGCCAAACTGTGTGTGTGCTGGCACTCACACACTTGCGTGCCAGCACCCAGAAGGCAATGTGCCCCCCACGCCCCCTGCGCATGTGCGTGCAATCCCCCACGCCTGTCCCCTTATCTGCACTGCACCTCACAGCTGATTTTTGGGTGGTTTGAGGCCTTTTTTGGCCTCCCACAGGCTTGAAAAAAGCCTCTGTAGGCCGAATAGGCCCACTGTGTCATTTCCGGTATTATACGAAGTGATGAAACAGGCCTATTATTTGGCCTGCAGAGGCTTTTTTCAAGCCTCTGGGAGGCCGGAAAAGGCCTCAAACCACCCGAAAATCAGTTGTGAGGCACGCATATGCGCAATGAGGTAAGTTTGCCTGCGGCTTGCGTGCTGGCACAAATGGCTCTGCGTGCCACCTGTGCATGTTGCCATAGGTTTCCCATCACGGGTATAGAGTCTCCTGCTAAGCAGAGGGTTGGACTAGAAGATCTCCAAGCTCTATTCTGATTAATTGATTGGTTTCTGAAAATGCTCAAGTAAAATCAATTATTTTGTTTTTAGAAGAGCATGCCTTTTTAATTTATTTTTTAAAAATATGTTTTGTATTTCTGCACACACTATTATTTCCCTCTTACTTTTCTGTGATTCAGCAATTCTTGCCACCTGAGTTTGCTAACAGAAGAAATGATTTCAGCCTTTATTTTCCTATTTTAATCAACCTCTATTTAGGTTATTGCACTTTGAGATAGACACAGATCTATCAAGTGATGTTTATTAATATTAAAAACATTCAAGTTACAGTCAAAAAGTTGAATGTAAGTATTTTATCACCCTGAATTTAGTGTGTGGATTTTTTTCTCTTTTCTGTGCAGGAACATTAATGCTTTAGACCAGAGGTGGTATTCAGCAGGTTCTGACTAGTTCTGGAGAACCGGCAGCAGAAATTTTGAGTAGTTCGGAGAACCAGCAAATATCGCCATTCTCTGCCTCCCAAGTCCCAGCTGATCAGCTGGGTCTTCTTTTGTTGCCCTTTACAAGAGAACAGTGCTGGAAAGCAGGTTTAGTGGAGTGGGGAGCAGAGGTGGTATTAAGCAGATTCTGACCAGTTCTGGAGAACCAGTAGTGGACATTTTGAGTAGTTCAGAAAACCTGCAAATACCATTTCTGACTGGAGATTTTACAGTATCCTTCCCCTGCCACGCCCACCAAGCCACACCCACAGTACCGGTAGTAAAAAAAAATTGAATCCCACCACTGCTTTAGACATCCTCATATAAGGACTTTCTCCAGATTGTTAGGTATTCAAATTCATTGTTGTTTTCAGTTCTACTTTTTTTCTCTTTATCTGTGCATTTTCAGTTTTATTTATTTTTACAATGCTTATAGCATGTGGTCTAATCAAAACTGCTTCTAAGCAGCATTCAATTCTTTCTCTATGTGGGGATAAAAGAAAAGCAAAATATGTACCATACAAAATACAACTCGAACACTCACATATCCAAGACCCAGAGAATAAATTACAATCAGCCCATACACAATTACAGCAACTGCCTTTGCTAAAGGCAAATGGGTTACCACTCAGTCTAAACACATGTGTATACAGATTAAATCGCAGGGCAAAAAAAATGAAATGATACAATTGCCTCAAGATTGGGCCGTAACACTAATTTTAGAAATTCTACAAGATAAACTTCCAAATGAATTTAAAAAATTAAAAAAAGAGAGAAAAGGGAGGAATGTTTTTTTCTAAGCTGATTCACACAATTGTTTAGACAGATTTATTTCGACGACTAGAATTGGAAACTGAATATGTTTTTTCAACTCAGATAGTTTCTATCTGAGAAGTAGGATTCCACCGGTATAACAACCAGTTTGGAGACAGCTGATCCGAACCAGTAGAATCCCCTGTATATAACTTTTAGATTCAGATACACAGGCAGTCCTCGATTTACAATTACAATTGAGCCCAAAATCTCCATTGATAATCAAGGCAGGTGTTAAGTGAATTTTGCCCCATTTTATGACCTTTTTTTGCCATATTTATTAAGCAAATCATTGCAGTTTTAAGTGGATCATATGATTATTAAGCAAATCTGGATTCCTCCATTGTCTTTCCTAGCCAGAAGCTGGCTGGGAAGATTACAAATGGTGATCACATGACACCATAAATATATGCCATTTGCCAAGTGCCCAAATTATGTGACCATGAGGAATGCTGCAAATGTCAGTGTGAAAATCAGTCATAAGTCACTGTTTTTCGTGCCATTTTAACTTGAAATGGTCACTAAATAAATGATTGTTAAATTGATGACTACGTGTATTGTCCACCAGGATTGGATATGATTATAGTTATAGTAAAAACCTAAGCAAAAATAAATGAAAAATCCAGAACTACAGAGATGACACAGCCAGCTCTATCTACCTAAGCTTAGACAATGCAGAAATCAAATCTTCAATTTGCATTCAGAATGTATTACTTGCCAGATACAGATTCTGCATTTTTAGCTGATTCCCCACAGATTTCTACAGATGAACTCTTTTTGACTCTGCCAACTTTTGCTTTGAATATATTCAATATAAATAATTGTAAAATGTATTGGTATAAGAGGTAGTAGCTGTAAAAGACCACTGATCTATACTAGTAGGAAAGTTAAGCACCTGTCTTCCAAAATCCTGTCAATGTCCTGTGGACCTTAATAGATATAAAATGTGTAAGGCAAGGTATATGATCATTACAGACCAAAAAGATATATTGGGATTTATGATAATATATCTTGCTTTTAAGCAATTTGTATAGGTCAACTAATAAAACAACCACCTTGCAATTTATAAAAAGGAAGAGAGCACATTTTCATTTTTGTCTTCTCAAATTAAATTAAAATGAGAGACAAACCCTCCAGTTCATGCACTGCACCTGAGTCGTATTATAAAATCATCACCACTGTTAACAAAGCCATTTGTTTTGCTCTTTTTCCTTTGAAGTAGATGTTAACTGGATAGAAAGTTCCATCAAAGTTCCATAGTAAAAGAGAAGAATCTGTTTTTAGTCAGGTTAAAAATGTTTTGGTTTCCAACAGGATTTAATTAGTTTATCAATATAAAGTATAGAAGTACAAAGAAAAGGAAAATATTAAGAAAATAAGGAAGGAAAAAGGAAAGAGAGAAAAGTGTAGGGTAAAGAGGAGAAGAAAAAGAAAAACATTGACTTCCAACTCTTTTAGTGCAATAGAATAAGGTAGAAACATAAAACCTCAACTTTTTACTTTGATGTGACAACATATACTAATAATTTCTCTAACAACAAACCTACTTAATCAGCAAAACCCAAAATCAAGCACAAAGTCCAAAAGCAGTTGTCAAGTAGAAAAAAAATTAATTGTGTTCTTTTCTTTAATAAAAGCAGTCAATTTAGCCATTTCTGCTAAATCCATCAACTTTTGCAGTCATTCTTTCATCCACTGTGAGAATCGGAGAGGAATCTGTTTTTTGTTTTAAAAGTGACAGAAGCTAAAAAGTGGAAATTTTTTTAAAAAAATCATCTCCGCTTCTTCCCTTTCTTTTCATTTCAAACCACCATTCCCATAGTTATATGAGCAAGAATAAAATGCTTTTGAACGTAATAGATTTTGCTTTCATCCTGCATAATTGACATCAGTAAACACCTTGTGATGTCCAGTGCTGGGCACACTCAGGCCATTATTTAAAATTACCACTGAAACCACTGACACCATTGCACAGTTGTCTGTTCAATTTATCATTATACCTGCAGGATGATGGTCCCATAGGCATTCTTCAGCAGATTTACTACCTCAGCATGAGACAGACCATCCAAAGGCTGCCCATTAATACTGACAATCCTATCACCAACCTAAAAGAGAGAGGAAAAAAACAGAACATAATAAGAAATATTGGTAGCATCAGGGATACTGGAGGGATTGATCTGTTTTGCAAGTGTGGCGCTGCACAGTCATGTTTCTTATTTATAAAAACACCACAGTCCAATTTATAAAACCCACCAGAAGTATTTCAGCCACATTAATTTGTCTCTAAGACTAATGTATCTTCTAAGGCAGGGGTCCCCAACCCCTTGTCCGTGGTCTGGCACAGGGCCGTGGCATGCCAGAAACTGGATCACGCAAACAAGCAAAGTCCCATCCGCAGGATGCAGGCAGCACACAAAACCACACCCCCTCCAGTCTGGGGGAAAAACCTCTCTCCATGGAACCGGTCCTTGGTGCCCAAAGGGTTGGGGGCCACTGTTGTAAGGCAAGGAAATTTTAGTGCTGGTAGTCCATATGTGACCTGTCTTGCTCCAAATGGTTGAAATATAAATTTAATAAATAAACAACTGGACATTGAAAATATTTATTTTTACGGTATTGTAAACCTGTTATTCATGATTGATTGTTACTCTGGGTTTGTTATCCTTATTTTATTAATAGTGCTTTTTAAAATTCTTTGATCAGTTTCGGAAATTTGTGAGCTGTTTTCAGCAACTATTTTCTAAATCAAAGGGAAATGTGGTGCCAATGTTTTTGTATAAATAAAATAAAAATGCAAAAAAGAAAAGAAAAGAACTCTTGCTCCTATTTTACAATCTAGGCGCAAAGAGAAATCATTGTAAATAGAAGAAGAGATTACTGATAGTATGTGAAACACTCTTTTTTCCTAGGGGTACTTGGTGAAGTGAAGATGTTAGTCATAACTGCTATTCTTTTCCCTGCAAGTCATCCAGTATCTTCTGAAATTGAAAAGAAAAAGAAAATAAAGTTCCTGTCTTTCTATGTTGTATTCAGATTGAAAAATGAAACTACATGAGATGAGTTCACTGTCTTGATTGCAGACATCGTACAACTGAAATGCAATTTTCCACAATTGCTGTTATTCATGGCAGTGGACAAAAAAATGATGTTTTTTAGCAGCAAAATGAATGAAACATATTCCAAAGTTGGAAAAAGAAACATTTGGGGAGGTAATAAGAACAGCAACACCAGCAAGAAAATAGAGCTAGTATTTATGCACATATCAGTTATTCTTTCACTTACTCGTAGTTTATGTGTGCGTGCTGCCACTCCATTGGCTTGAATCATAGCAATGAAGATCGGAATATCTGCCAAGGGACTTCCCTTGCCACCAGCAATACTGATACCAAGAGCATCGTTCAGGCCCTTAACAGAAAAAAAAAGGTTATAAGAATCACTTATTCTGCCCAAGTTTCAAATATATAACCTGTGGATCTGGTGTCACATGGAATGCAATTAAGCAAAGACACAATGTGATATCTGATTTTCCATGCCTTGTACAAAAATTCCATGTCTATCAAAATTTCAAATTGTTTTAGTGACATTATTAAGCACATACAAAGGAAGCTTTTTTTTGCATTTATTGAAAGCACTATCATTTTCAAAACTAGATTTCAATGATATAATACTAAAATCTTTAAAATTTATATATGATATTCCTATATTCTCGAGTAGAAAGCTGGGGTACCATGGTCAAGATAATATATTCTCTATTGGAAAGCTGAGATACTATGGTCAAGATAATTCCATAATTTCTTTTATTTATTTCCCTATAATTGCAAATAGATTTGACCACATAAACCCATTGTTTGCACACTGGACAAAATAACATGGTTTTGTTCTTTCTTGCTAAATATATTAAGTAAGAAGAAATTACTGACCCTTGTTATTTCCACAGTTCTTGGGCTTATGTCTGCTCCAACTGACAAAAAAATAAATATATAGAATAATTAAAGGCTAAAGGTATCATAATATTATGTTCTCTACTTATTACTTCAAAATGATCACAAATATTGTGCTCCTTTCCCCAAACTGAGGGTTTCAAGATGTATGGTCTACAACTTCCTAAATTCATAGTCAATAGGCCAATAGTTTGAGAGCCAATTTGGTCTAGTGATTGAGGTATCAGGCTAGAAAGCCAAAGATTATGAGTTCAAGTCCCACCTTCAGCATGAAAGCCAGCTGGGTGACCTCTGGCTAGTCACTCTTTTCTTAGGCCAACCCACCTCATAGGGTTGTTGTAGGGAAAATAGGAGGAGGAAGGGTATGTTCACCGCCTTGAGTTATTTGTAAAAATAATAAAGGCTGAATATAGACAGGCAGGCAGCAAAGGGGACTAAAACATTCTTTAAGTTATGAGAAACAGGATAATATTTGGACGCCTCCTTAATTATCTGCACTGTAAGAGGGAAAGAATCTGCAAGATTCTCTTATTATAACCAATCTCAATAAGTGCAGTCGTTTTCTTGAGCAAACTCAAGAGCAGAATATCCATTCTAATTCACAGAGATGTTAATTGTTTGTTCTCTCCCATACCTGAATTTCTCTGAGAAGGATCAGCAGATGATCTCTTACTGCTGACTAAATTTTGCAAAGTGGAGATAACTGGAGCAAATGTAGGATGAAAGTGGCTATGGACATTATGTTGGCTCATCTGAAAATCCAAGAAAAGCAAATAAGGCCCAAGATAGAATCTGCAAGATTGTTCCACATACAATCCATACCAGCTGTTTACAGTTTCATTGATTATAGCTTCTACCATTATATCTGTTCATTAAACCATGGATGATGCTTATGTTATCCAAGATGCTGTTAAGAATTTCTTAATTACTACTAACAGATTCACACAAACACCCACACCCCAGAATTTAAAATTGATTTTTCAAAAAAAAAAAGTATAGAAACATGCATGAACAAAATTCTAATTTGGCTTTTTAGAGGAGGGAAGGCATATTGTGCCAACAGATGAAGAGTCAGGGAGTCTGCCAATTGAGGCTAAGAAAATTGGAATTTATTTATTGCACTTCTAACTTTCTTTAGACATTTTATTCCATCATATCTGGAGCACAGCTGCTGAAAGGCAGGAGCAAAACCTACCACTCTCTTAATGAAATAGATTTTCAAGCTTCAGAACTCTAATCAAATGTCTGGATCAATGTTCCTCTGTATGCCGAGGGAATTCATTAGCAGTAGCATTCTGTATGCTGGAGAAAGACTAACAAAGTGAAGTAGTAATACCTGTACTTGTTTAGTTTATTTAAGGCAAAAATAAATGATGCATCAAAAGTTTGGAAGTTGGGCACAGATTGGGGAATGTTCCTAAACTGAAATAAGAACATATGAGAAATGATATTGTTATATATCTCTATGCCTTCCTGGAAGAATGCACAGTAGTTTGTTGGATAACTTTCTTAAACACATACTGTGTTTCATTATTATCAGGATAGGAAGGTTCATTTTAATTGTATTTTATGTCCTTCACTGCATGTAAAATGGATGCCATGAGATGACTATTGTGACTGCAAGTGGCTGGTGAAAATGATACTACTCCTATGGCCTTTCTGCAATTAATGGTTTCAGGAAAAATCAAATACATGCATAATTGTACAGAAATTATTAAAAAAATGTACTGTCAGTTAAAACGTGGGAATAGTCCCAGATATTAAGGTGGCCTTCAGATAATTAAAAATGATAGATAGAAACAGATTTTTCTGAATTAAGGTCATATTTAGACAACCAGACAAGACAAACTATTTACAAATACATGTTGGGATCCATTACTTTATTCTTCTTTTTAATGCATCGCCATCTGCTACTAACCTGACTGTTTTGAGATGTCTTCCTTGAGGATAATGAAGATCCCGCCCTCAACCGTCCAATCTCCAGTTGCACAAGTCCTTGGGCACACTTCGATATAAAAATACAAGATCACAGGTATTCATTTTTATTGCTGTCCCTCCAAAAACTATACCTTTAAATAAACCATGACCATTTAAAATGCCCTAGCCCTTGGAAGATCTGGCAACATCCATTTCCCAACTTGTTCTTTTTTCTCCAGGTTATTCATAATAAACTCTATTAAAAGACCGTACTTTAGCTGTAAAATATATGTATAATACTGTATTCAATAGAGTATACTAAGGACTGTACAAATGAAAATTATTTTTAGCTGCATACATTGATTTAAATTCTGGTTTGTTTAATTAGTGAATGATCCATATTGGCCCAATTCTGTAAGCAAGCTACATTATGGCTTAGTGGGATTTGCAACTGATCTTGTCTTTTTATTCTTTTATGAAAATTTAAGTTTTTAAAGAAGGCAGCCCTTATGCATTGAAGTAGTATTACCTCTTAGTAGGAAAAAAAAATAGTACACAAAATGCATTAGTAGGATTATATCAAAATGCATTTTATAATTATATATTCTTTTCTAAATACTTTACTGATAAATGGTTTATTTCCATTAACTACAATTAAAATTAAACACCGTGGATGATTAAACATAAAAGCTATATATAAATTGAAGCTCCCACCATGCTTGTCTTGATGAGACTGAACTGTGTTTGAACACTTTGACTGAACTTAGTATTTCCGAAGGATGTTACATTTTACCTAGACTCAGCTTCATACTCACCTTAAGAATGGTGGCTACCACCTCTTGAGAAGCCTGTCTGACATCCTCACCGTTGACAGATAATATCTGATCTCCTTGAATTAATCTTCCATCAAGGTCAGCGGCTCCTCCTTTGACAATGTCAGAGATAAACACACCGCTTCCATTTCTAACAATATAGGTAACATTTGTACTGGATTATTAAACAAATAAACTATACATGTTTTTTATCAGCAATGACACATTGTTAATTATTTCCAGCCCAAAACCAGGACTTCTGTTCTTACTTTTCTAAAGACAATAATATAGCTAAAGGCAATTTTGATTGATGGCCTCCTCAGTCAGAAAGGTCACATTCTGTCATTTATGCCAATTTGTTGTGGTATAGCAAATTGTTCTGCTATACTGCTAAATTGTTATCATAAATACATTTTCAGATAAGAAGCAATCTCTATCAATTTACTTTTGCACACAGAATCACTATGCCGTTGTACAAAACAATATGATGGAAAGCACACAGTCTTCAACTGAATGGTTCATTTTAAATCTACTGCCCCTGAACTGGTAAAATGCTAGTATAATTGCTAGCATAGCACTTGTAATAATTTCAGCACATACATTTTATAAATATAACGTAGCAGTAAATGCTCTATGACACTTGTATGCCCTCTCTATTTCTATTGCAATAAACATTTAAAATTAATTAGGATCAAATATATATTTCTTACCTTTTCCCTACAATGCTAAGTCCCAATCCTCTGCCCATTTTCCGTTGTAGGTCTACAAAGAAAATCTCAAAATTTTCTTCATCTTTATAATGAGCTTCATCTCTATAGACAACAAGCTGCACTTTTGGAGGTGTTTGCCTCAAGGCAGTGATAGCATCTTCATGACTGGCATTTCTCAAGTCTATTCCATTAACCTAAAATAAAATAAAGCATTTTATTGGATGTCCAGTTTACTTACTGGATTTTAATTAGTTTAATAACAGTGATGCATTTTATTGGAGGGAAATTAACATAAGCTGCCCAGAGTTGTCTTGTGACAAGACAGCCGGAAAATAAATTTAACAAATAAATGAACAAGAAAATAAATAAATTAATTTTCCTAGGGCGTCCCAAAAAGAGTGGTCCCAAACCCCACCCCATTTTTGGAAAACTGCTTCTGCCATTCCTGCAACTCTATCCTAGGTTAGGGTTAAGATTTACACAGACTTCATGAGGAACACCAGAAATTCTGCCAATTCACGTGAAAGATAAAATCATGGTTAAACATTTCAAGAAGGCAGTTTTCAGCTCAACCCATTTGATCCAGGAAGTTTATTCAATTTGAACTCCAAAGTTTGATTGATCTTAGTGAGAACAAGTTAGGTGTGAAAAGATGAATTTTCCTTATTTAGATTACCTACAGTTCCTTATTTAGATTACCTACAGTTAGCTACCTCAGAATTATTAAACTAATATACAGATTATAGTTAAATCATAGTTCAGAAACTAGACGCTCCCATCAGGTTTGTTTTTTTAAAAGATTCTAGTATAGTTGAGTACCAGCACTTATTCATAAATGTTGTATAGTATAATTTTCTAAAATAAACCACAGCTTCCCTCTGCTTATATTATATAATGTCTCTTATTACTTATACTTCTTAAATAATTGAGTAAGAATATATCCATTCTTCATTTCTGATAAAATTATTTGAAAATGTAGATTTCCCAAAATTCATAGAGCAAAGCTTCATGATGAAAAAGCAAGCTCTTGTTTGTTTTCTGAAGGAGTAACACTGAAATTCTACACGTCTACTGTAAAGTCTGTTAATTTCAGTCATGGGTAAATAGAAATAGTATTGCTTTCTGACCCCCGCTGTTTTGTATGCATAATAAATATATACCTGTTTTTTTAAAAAAATTCACAATTCTATCCTTTGAAAGCAAAGTAATATTTTTCTATATTCCAATAGATGGCACACCATACCACAGCAAAACTTTAAATTGGCCTTAAAACAAATATTAACATTAAATTTCAAAGGGAGCCAGAACACTATTTCCATTATCATCATGGCCAAATAAAAATATATTTCTGTTTTAACTACAATTATTGCAACTTATACCCTAATGTAATTTCTGGAACAGATCTGCTATTATATTATTATATTAGTATATTTATCTTGGCAAAGCAATTTTCATATGTAAGGACCTTTTTTATGCCTTCCCTTAATTTCTACATTACATTACTGTAATATAATTAGACTAATGTAATTGTCTTGCAAAACATTGCCCTCAAAATCAAAGCAGTAGTACATAGGTGATAGCTATTTTGGTATAGTAATTAACGAAAGTGAGGTGAAAACCAGGAGACAATTAGTTGTGGCCGTTTCTTGGACCCAACGCTGGTTGGATCCTTTGAGGCCTATCACTTTCTTTCAGCCATGGGAAAACAGCAATGGCAAAGAATTTTAGAAAAATACTGTTGTTATGTCCCTGGAACTTGCCAAAGTCCCCACCCAGGTCCGTTCATGCTGCGGGGGCGTTTGCTGCCCCTCATTGGCTGGCCTCCCTCGACAGCCGGCTATAAAAGCCAGCTGCAGGGTCCGGCCAGCCGCTGTTCGTTGTGAGCCTGCTCCAGGCAGGGCTAACACGTTCAGTCCTTTATTGCTTCAATAAAGTCTTGTTGCATCCATGCCCTGGTCAAGCCTCTCATTGCTCAACTACAACACTGGCGACGAGGATGGGATGGCTACCAGAGGCAATCCGCAACAGCTGAAATCACTAAATCGCTGAGCCGCAGCCGCGCCGCCGGAGAGCTCGGTCAGCAAGAGCGAAAATAATAAGCGTCTGTAGCCGCTTGGTTAGCAAGCTACAGGGGAAAGTGGAGCGCTGCGAGCCGCAGCCGCTCAACACAAAAGAGCGCGAAATTCAAACGGCTGTCGTTTGAATTTCTTGCCGGAATACAGCGCGGTGCTGTTATTCCGAGTCACTGACGCCTACACAGGCACGAAATTTGAAGCGCTATCAGAGGCGGCTAGCCATTACCGCCTACGCTCCCAGGAGCGCGAAATTCAAAGCGCTGCCAACAGCCGTTGCAGCCTAGTCACATTTGTTAGCCCAGAGAGAGAGCAGAGAGGTTCTGTGGAGCCTCTCCAGAGCTGTAGTCACTAACCTAACAAGAGCACAAAGTGCCATTTTGTTGTTCCAGAGAGATTTCACAGCAGCCTAACCAGCAGAAGTCCTCATCATGAACTCCAACCCAGCCTTCCCACCGTTCAAGCCGGATGAAGAAAAGTGGGAGTCATACAAAAATCGTTTTAATCACTATATCGATGCCATTGGTCTGGCTGATGCTGGGGAGCACAGAAAAAAGTCATTCTTCCTCAGTTATTGCGGAGCCATTGTTTTTGATACCGCCACAGCACTCGTTGCACCACGTGAGTTAAAGAATGTCCCCTGGGCAGAATTGCTGGAGATCCTCACCAATCATTACTCCCCCAGACCCTCACAAATCGCGAGGCGTTTCACCTTCCGGATGAGGAAGCAAGCGGAAAAGGAAACCGTCAACCAGTATATGGCCGCCTTGAGGACTGCAGCCCTCCACTGCGGGTTCGGGAAATATTTAGATAACATGCTCCTCGACCAGCTCGTCTGCGGGGTCAAAGACCTTCACCTCCAAAGGCAACTACTCGCCAGGAAGGACCTCAACCTCTCCCAGGCCGTCGAGGAAGCCTTGGCAGCAGAACTGGCAACACAGTCAGCCACCGAAATTCAAGGTCCCGTTCCCAAACAAAGCTGTGCCACCGTTCATTCAGAAGAGGTAGTCAACGAAGATGATCCCAACGATCAAACAGACATCCACCGCCTCGCTCATGCCAAACAACCACAGGCAGGAACCAGGCAAGAAAGCATCAGCGCACCCAAACACATCACCCTGTGCCTATCCTGTGGCGGACCTCACTCGAGAGCTTCATGCAAATTCAAGGGTGCCATCTGCAACAATTGCCACAAAAAAGGCCACATCGCCAGAGTCTGCCAGGCCGCGCACAACTCAGCACAAAAGGTTCCTTCCTTTTCCCATTCTGGGCCCCAAAGGCAAGTACTAAATTGTCACACTTGCTACCATGCTAACCACACCTGTCACTCTATTAGTAAAATAACACTCTCCATTTTATTAGAAGGTAAACCTTGTCGTATGGAGGTTGACACGGGGTCAGCGCTCTCAATCATCTCTTGGAGCACCCTCAAGAAAATCCAGCCCAGACTATCCAGAAACCAGCTCCAGAAGTGCCAGATCACCTTGAGGGATTATCAGGGAAAGGACATTCCAGTACTCGGCAAAGGCAAGTTCCTTGTTAATTTTAAAGCTTTCAAAGGCCACCTGCCTCTAGTGGTAGTTAACGGCAACCTCCCTAGTCTTCTGGGGCTTGATTGGTTCCCCTACCTCGGCCTAGGGTTAACAGGAGTCCATGCTGTCTCAGCTTCTGACACTGACTCCTTATTCACTGACTACTCAGACGTGTTCAGCGATGAGTTAGGGTGTTATAATGGTACCCCCATCTCATTTACAGTTGACCCCCAAGCGGTTCCAGTACGGCTGAAACCTCGTAGAGTCCCATTCGCCATTCGGCCTAAACTGGACGCAGAGCTCGATAAATTATTAAAGCAAGGGGTCATTGAGCCGACAGACTTCGCCAAATGGGAGACGCCAATTGTCACACCCCTTAAAAAGGATGGCAGCCTGAGAATTTGTTCGGATTACAAAACAACAATTAACCGCTTTCTACAAGTTAGCACGTACCCAGTCCCGGTCATTCAACATTTATTGCATACATTTGAACCTGGCAACATTTTTGCCAAATTGGACATGTCACAAGCGTATCAACAGTTCCCTGTTGACAACCAAACAGCCGAACTGCAGACCATTGTGACCCACAGGGGTGCCTTCCGGTGCAGGCGTCTCCAGTTTGGCGTAAGTGTGGCCCCGGGCATTTTCCAATCCCTCATGGAGCGCATACTTCAGGGCCTCCCTTGCGTAGTGCCCTACTTCGATGACATATTGGTCTCGGCCAGGGACAGGCCCCAGCTCTTCCAGAGAGTCAGAGCAGTGTTAGACAGGTTCAGACAGCATGGCCTCAAATTAAAAAGGGAGAAATGTGCCATTGCCACTAGACAGGTGGACTTTCTGGGCTATAGAATTGACGCCTCAGGCATTCACCCCCTAGAATCCAAGGTCAAGGCAATTCATGAGGCACCCACGCCAACCACTAAAGTCGAGCTACAAGCCTTTTTGGGATTATTGAACTTTTATGCATCATTTCTACCTCACAAAGCATCAGTAGCAGAGCCTTTACACAGGCTCTTAGATAAAAAATCACCTTGGCACTGGGGACACAAGGAAGACACCGCTTTTCGCGCAGTCAAATCACTGCTCACATCAGACGCAGTCCTTATTCAATTTGACCCACACCTCCCATTGGTACTAGCCGCAGATGCATCCCCTTTTGGGATTGGAGCCGTACTAAGCCATAGACTACCCAACGGCTCCGAGGCACCAATCGCTTTCTTTTCCAGAATGCTCTCAGCAACAGAGCGTAACTATAGTCAAATAGTCGAATTCCTTTTTGGCCACAACTTCAAACTAATCACGGATCACAAGCCTCTCCTGGGTCTTCTATCTGGAGACAAGCAGACTCCACAAGTGTTGTCTCCCAGAATGACGAGGTGGACCTTGTTCCTGGCGGCTTATTCGTACAAGCTCATCCACCGCCCAGGAAAAACATTAAGCCACGCAGACGCCCTCAGCCGCTGCCCCCTGCCAGCTCCAGCTGAAGACCCGGCCCCGGTCCATGCCATCTTCGATGTCACCGAGCTCGACCTCCCTGTCACCGCCCTCGACATCGCCACCAAATCCAAGACGGACAAAACTATCGCCCAGGTACTGGACTGGGTGAGGAGGGGGTGGCCGGGCTCTAACCTCGCAGCCGAATTCACACCTTTTAAGACCCGTCAACAGGAACTATCTAGCTTACAGGGCTGCCTGTTGTGGGGCACCCGGGTTGTCATTCCGGCCTCACTTCGCACACCAGTCTTAGAGGCACTACACGAGGGCCACCCGGGCATCGTCCAGATGAAGGCGTTGGCTCAGAGTTACGTCTGGTGGCCTGGCTTGGACGACGACATCGTCAAGTGGGTAAGCTCATGCCAACCCTGTCAGGAATCCAGACCATCCCCTCCAGTCACTACCCCCACAAAGTGGGAGAGCGCCAACGCGCCTTGGTCAAGGCTACACATTGACTTAGCGGGTCCAATACACTGCAAAACCTTCTTGGTGGTCGTAGATTCATACTCTAAATGGATCGATGTGGCCCAACTATCCACGACCACCACGCAAGCGGTTACCAAGGCTCTGACCCGCCTATTCGTAACACACGGGCTACCAGATACCTTAGTTTCGGATAATGGCCCCCAGTTTGCCTCAACAGAATTTAGCCGTTTCGCCACCAATCTTGGCATCCGACACATCTTCACGGCCCCCTTTCATCCTGCCAGCAACAGACTGGCAGAGAGAGCCGTTAGATCCACAAAAGAAGCGTTAGCCAGATTCAGCAAAGAAGATTGGCATCACAGACTCTCCCGCTTCTTGCTAAGCCAACACTCAACCCCTTGCATGGTCACCAACAAATCCCCAGCTGAACTTCTGATGGGTAGACGCCTAAGAACTGTATTGGATAGGCTCCACCCTCACTATTGCCCTGACACCCCTCTCGCTTCAATGACGGGGGTCAGAGATTTTGTCTTGCAGGAACATGTCTTTGCAAGGAACTATGCCGGAGACCCGCTTTGGATTCCAGGAGTGATAATAGCCATCACCGGTCCCAGGTCGTACCGAGTCCAGCTGGAAGACGGCCGCATCTGGAGAAGACACCTGGACCAGCTAAGGAAGCGACAGGGTACCTTCGCCAGTGCCGGATCGTGGGCTCAGGTCGACCCCCAGGCGCCACACCAAACGCTCATCGAAGACCATGCCAGGATCCCTTCGCCACCACCACCCGGACCAAGGGAGCAGGCAGTAGACCGGGACTGCCCGATGGGTCCTCCACCTGAACCAGCAGACGGGGCCACGACATCACCGACCAGAAGCACCGCACCGGTACCAGCGCAAACCTCAGAGCGAGGCTGCACCCCATCACCAACCCTACCGGTTTCCTTGAACACTGAGACACTGGGTAACTCACCGGAGTTACGACGCTCGGGGCGCCAGCACAGACCGCCCGCTTATTTAAATGACTATGCGTGTTCGCATCTGGGGGGAAGGGGTGTTATGTCCCTGGAACTTGCCAAAGTCCCCACCCAGGTCCGTTCATGCTGCGGGGGCGTTTGCTGCCCCTCATTGGCTGGCCTCCCTCGACAGCCGGCTATAAAAGCCAGCTGCAGGGTCCGGCCAGCCGCTGTTCGTTGTGAGCCTGCTCCAGGCAGGGCTAACACGTTCAGTCCTTTATTGCTTCAATAAAGTCTTGTTGCATCCATGCCCTGGTCAAGCCTCTCATTGCTCAACTACAACAACTGTCAAGAAAACTTAATGGATTTGTCCATGTAGTTGGTAGGAATGAAGTCTGATTTGAAGTCACCATACACACACCTTAAGAATATTTATAAATTATGTAATATTTGATAAGATATAGTTGTGGGATCCAAACAATTAATACTGGAGTTTCAATTCTTGCACTGGCCAGCTGGAGCAAATTCTCAGTCTTAAGGTATTTCAACACATCCATACAATTATCCTGAAGACAAGAGAAATATTCAAGGAAGTAAACTTGAAACTCACTTCCAGAATTTGATCACCAGCCCAAAGTCGACCATCTCTAGCAGCTGCTCCTTCTTCATAAACTTCATGTATGACTATGGCATCCTAGAGAAATATATAACCTTTATATCAATATTTAACAGTTTGAGATTGATAATTCAGAACATAAAAATAACTGACAGGCAGCAAGATAAGGAGGGAGGGAAGGAGGTAATTACATGTCAAATTTCCCATTGTATATAAGTATATTAAATATTAATAGATATTGTGTAAATGTTTAAGTCCTTCTTTGATACTGTGTAGAAGTTTAGGTGCATCAATAGAATATAGTGTCCAAGTCACAATAGGTTAATAGATCCATTATACTCCCCACTGGTCAGATTCAACCTTGAATATCTGCATCATAATTTAAGAATTCAGACAAAGTGAAACCGATTCATAAAAGGACCCAATCACTTTGTCCCTCTCTCTCTAAAAAAAATTGCTCTTTTGGTTCCAGATGGTCATTGTAGAATCCAACTAATACAAAACTAACAAAAAGTTTGTGAGAATGGGAACATCTTTGCCTGATTCGATGGATGTTGATTGGGGCAGCAAAGGCAAACTCTACATCTGAGAAGGGCTTCCTTGTAGCCATGATCACTTGTTTGTGGCACCCTGCAAAGCCATTCAAAGGACTTGAACAGGTAGTCCTTGACTTATGACCACAAATAAGCCCAAAATTTATGTTGCTAAGCAAGATAGTTGTTAAGTGAGTTGTTCTTCATTTTGGAATCTGCTTCAGACAGTTCAAAATAAAATTGGACAATCTGTTTGAGAAATATTTTACTATCGAGTATATAGTCCTGACAAAATTAGCAATTATTTTCATGCATGCAAACAGTTATCCTTTTGCCCTTCCAAGGACATCAGAATCTTGTCTTCAGAAAGCATTAATTTGCTTCCATTTCCCCATCATTACAGCATCATTTTATGTCTCTCAAAAAAATCTTAATTTTATCTGGAAACAATCTTTGGCAAGGCTGGCATATTAGCACAAGACGACAGTCTGTGAGTCCATTGAGTTTCTTTAGGAAATATGATTAAAATTACATTAGGTGTATTTATTTTCAAGGCTTGTTAAATGATCTAAACAAAGCACCATTGCCATGTCTTCCTCCCTCCCTCCCTCCCCTTTCTTTCTTTCATTTATATTTCCTATACCACCTATCTTCTTCAGAGACATAAAAGTACAAACATTTCTTAAAAAGGAAATTGAAAATTTAAATCTTCACTCTAGTACATAAAAGGAACATTAAGAACAAACATTTACAAAATAGTTTGTTGTTTCTTTGGAAACAAACACTCAGAAAACAGTTTTTTGTTTTCTTTGATCATAAGTGAACTATAAGTGTATGTCTAGTAGCAAAACCTTCCATCTTTTTCTCTTCAATTTTTTTCACTTCACAACTGATATATAGCTTTCTCTGCAAACTTCCAGTTATAGTAAAATTAAATATCTAAAGTTTATATATCCATAACCATGTTTATACTTATGCCTGTTATCTTATAATTGCTTGACTAAATAAATAAATAAATAAATAAGTAAGCAAGTAAATAAATAAATAAATCATTACTGCAAATGCCCAACATGCATGTGCTGACCACAGAAAAGGGAACTAGACTTAAATCTCAAGGATGCTTGTGAAAAGTTACTTCCAATATCAATGAGTGAACCTTACACATTCTGTCTTTCAACTTTACATTTGGAACTTATTCCTGATATAAAGCCGTTGATAGTAGACAGTGTAGTTAGTGTGAGTTCAGAAGAATGTGTTCAATTTAAAAAATACCTTTCCTGAAGCAGCACTACACCACTTTGAGCAAGGTGACATGAAACGAAAAAGACAAGGAGGAAAGTAACAACATCTTTGCCCTAAAGCAGTTCTTTTGATCAAAGGATTGTTTTGAAGCTTCCCCTTTTCTTTTAAACCTCACGGCTATGAGTATTTACAACTATGATGCTATTGCAAAATGTTAAACTGCTGTATCATATTTCTAATTACTCTGTTTGGGTTTTGAGGGACATTAGTGGCCATTTATTTACAGAATACCACAGAACCGCAAACCACTGCCGATTCAAGAATCAATCTGTTTACAGGAAGCTGCATAATTAAATTATAATTACCGATATGAAAATATGGTTTACACATGCTCATAGAGTGATATCATTTTAGAGGGGGAAAAATGAAAAATGCAACCAGCATGGGCAGAAAATTTGAGAATAGTCATTTTTATTAGTAGAGCAGTCAGTTTTTCAGATTGCCTCCCAAATAAACAGACTCAGGTATTAAAGATCTGTATATCTTACCTTAGACAAGAACTACAATATAGTCTAAGGCAGGGGTCTCCAAACTTGGCAACTAAGCTATGCTGGCTGGAGAATTCTGGGAGTTGAAGTCCACAAGTATTAAAGTTGCCAAGTTTGGAGATTTCTGGTCTAAGGTAAGATATACAGATTTAATGTTCCACAAACTATAACTTTCTAATCTAGTACAGGTAGTCCACAACTTACAACAGTTTATTTAATGACCATTCGCAGTTACAACAGCTCAGAAAAAAAATGACTTATGACCATTTTTCACACTTATGACTGATGCAGCATCCCCATGGTCATGTGATTTATATTTGGATACTTGACAATTGGTTCATATTTATGATGGTCGCAATGTTCCAGGATCATATGGTCATCTTTCGCGATCTTCTGACAAGCAAATCAATGGGGTAGCCACATTCACCTAACAATCATGTTACTAATTTAACAATTGCAGTGATTCACTTAACAAATGTGAAAAGGCATAAAATAGGGCATAACTCATTTAACAAATTTCTCATTTAGCAACATAAATTCTTAGCAACATAAATTGTGATTGTAAGTCAAGAACTACCTGTATTTTCACATGCATCCATTCTACAATCATGTTTTTTTTAATATACATTTTCTTATGATATGAAATTTAGTTACTGGCTACTTGTACCAGATCAAGGATGTTTGCAGGGTATGGTTAAAAAAAAAAGTCAAGATGGTGTGATAGAAACTGTGTTCATTTTTATGTGTTCTGTACTATGCAGATAACCCTTGGTTATGTCATCATAATTTATTTCAATGGTCATAGAGAAGCACCAAGTTACAATGAGATATTTATATCCAGAGCCGATCTAGAGCAGACAGTAGGAAGGCCAAGATGTGGTATTATGGGTTTTCGTAACTCCAACTAAAAAGCCAAATTGAGGACCAGTTCACAGTTTGGTAATTCTGCTCCAGGAAAATGATTACCCTATGCCAGTTTTAATAACATTAGAAGAATAACAATCAAAAGATAGGCAAAATTTACATATGGATATGGAAACTTGCATTCTTGGATGGGGAACATGCCCAGATCCAGGTGTGGTTGTCATTTAGGTTCAAACAGCATTAAAAACTCAAATGCAAAGCCAAGTACCACTGCAATAAAATAGGCCATGTAATGTAGCTGTGTGGTTTGGGCAAGAAAAGTGATAAAATGGATCCCAAATTAAGTCCGACTGTATGTGAGATGGCATTCTTTGGCCTATAGGCATTTAAAAGAAGTGCACAGCAGGTGGCAGGATCTTGTCTTAAAATACGATGAACATGACAATGGTAAATAATATTGCTGCCAAAGAAAGCTATGGGTTGAAGTCAAGGGAGACATTTCACTTCATTTTTTTTAATTTGAAAGAAAGTATATCCATGTGTATTTGAATATGGCTTTACATGCCAAACTATCAAATGGTTATAAGGAAACCACTAATATTAGCTTCATGCTTAGTCAAAGGCTAGGTCCCACAATTGCAGGTTGCATACTAGTGCCGTTACAGTCGCATCCTTTTCAGATTTAAAGCCTTCAAATCTACCATCTTAATAGCAACATTCATTTGTATTCTTTCAATGTACTCTTATAAAAAATTTTCCAGGTTTTATTTTGATATCATTAAAGTAATTTAAATTTTAATGATTTAATTTTTTTTAAATATTTCTGGCAATTATATGCTAGAGCAGATGGTAGAAATGTGTTTTAAAAAACAGAAAAGAAAGAAAATTGTCAATAAGGTGAACCAAATAGCTATCTTGTTTTGATGAGGTAGTTTCATTAACCCCACTGCCCCCACTCCCAAAATGTGCTAAGTGAGCAGGGATTAGAATAAAAAAATTATGCTTAAATTGCTAAATTCAGGCTAACCTCCTTCTTAGCCTATTGCTATCTTGCATTTTTTAAAATAAAAAGTATCTGTCTATCATCTATCATCTATTTATTTATTTTTCATTTCTATGCCACCCATTTCACTAATAAAGCAACTCTGGTAACGTTAATACTGTGTCTCTATCTATCTATTTTTCATTTCTATGCCACCCATTTCACCAATGAAGCAACTCTGGTAATGTTAATACTGTATTGATGATTCCTGGACAAAATTCAAAGTATAAGTCTTCTTTAAATAACCTGTCACAAATCATTATTTTCAGAGTAAAGAGAACAGAAACAACATCCATGTATTGGATTCCAAGTAGGAAAAAAATAAATACTAAATTGGGATTGTGTCAAAACAGGAAGGGGATTGACTGACAGTATGCCCTTCAATTTTCAAGACCATTAAACTATAAGTGGCTGAAAGAATTTGCATATCCTCTAAAGGTCACAGATTTTTTTTTTATGTACTAAGAAAATTGATATTTCAAAATCTCTTCTCTTGGAATTACATGTGAAGTTAAAGCACAATTTCTCACCATAATTTAGGTACATGTGTCATAGTTTCTGACAAATTAAAAATTACATTAGATAAACAAATTGCCCTTAGAATTAATGGACATTTCAATAGTGGCTCTATGTATTTACATTAGTGATCTGAACAGCTATTAACTTCATAAACTAAGTCAAATTCACAGAGAATCTTGGGTGGCTACAAAGTATAAAGGTTCAGCTCACTATTTATTTATACCAAGATATTTATATATAATCTGGAGTTACCCTGGATATTTTCAAAGCAGCATACTAGAATGAATAATTAAAAATGAACAATTAAAATGCTAAAAACCTGCAGATTCAAATTAAAATAATTAAAAATATATAAAGTTATGTAATTATTTGCTACCACAGCCGTAATTGGAAAAGTTGATGCAAAGGTGAAACAAAGCTATAGTTTCCTTTTGGTCTCTGCATTCTTTTCCCATCATCCCAAATATAGTCACCTAAGTCTTCATGACTGGCCAGCCTCTTACCTGTTCAGCTGAAGTGTAGTTCAGTGCTGTATCTTATGGGATGTCTCCCTTAGGAGATAAACTAACTCCTCATTGAGGCAGGATAATTGAATGGAAGACAATTCTGGTTTTAGAATCTTTCCATAAAATCTATGGCCCTAATTAAGTTAGAGAGTGGAATAGTTTAAGAACTTATTTGAGAAGTAGACAAAATATTGCCAGTGGTTGCCTTCATAAGAAGTGCAGTGATGCTTAGTAGGAACAGAAAGAGGCCAGTCTTCATTATAGACTATCTCAAACAGATAGATGTTGTGTTGATTAAAGCTCAACAGGGTAGGTGATATGTCAATGCCAGGTCTCCCACAAAATAAAATGGTAACATTTCTTCATTTTAATATACGGGACTTTAATATATTCAAGGACTAATCTACAGAGAAGAATTCCCTTAACTTCAAGAAGCTTATTCTACCAGCCTAAGAAAGTTGGACCTAATTAAGCATTATAGAGCATCACGGAGATTGTTTTGAGGGAAATACTCAGAAGCCATTAGAAAAGAAAATGGCAGAAGCATTCCTTAAGCCTTGGGAAAGGAGACAATGTTAGAAAGAAATCAGGCTGCGTCCCCCCGACTCAGAGGGAGGAGAGGAAAAACACACTCAGACTTGCAAAGTACTGTCAATATAATCTCAATGAATCTGACTTTTAGTTGTCTTGTGGAGTCTATTTCCTGATCTGGATAACCTTGAAGAGCTGACACTTATTCACAGTCTTAACAAAAAAGTGTTCGTGCATTTTAACTCTACAAATGTCTCTATTCCAGGAAGGCTATTTTTTTTTACTAACTGCAGCAAAAGTTAGTCAAAACTGTTCTAGACAGTTGTTACAGAGTGAGTAAAGATAAGTTGTGTTTAGTATACCATATTTTTTAAAATTCTATTTGCATTGCATTTAACAATGCTCTTGTCATCTAGTCTCCTGCCATGCCTCCTGAGGCTGGAGAAGAATAAACACATTATCCTTCTAATAAAGGAGAATATTTGTAGCTCAGGGTTGATATGAGGGTTCCTTGGTGCTCTTGGAGGTTGCTCATTTTGAGCTTCCTCCCTTGCTTGAAGACGTTTCATTACCCAAATGATTATGTTAACAAGCTTGGGTAATGAAACATCATCCTTCCCTTGCCCATTATAGTTTCTCTACCTTAATGTCCTCAGATCACAGTTCTATTTTCTTCAATTTATTATCCCACAATTGAGAGGATTTGCCATTTGTAAAAACTGTCACTTATACACACTATCTCTTTCCATTCTGAATAAACGACTTACAAGTGGTGTATCCTTTCCTCCTACAATACTGAGTCCCAGACCTGATCGTCCTTTAGATATTTCAATAATCATTTCTTGGCCAGGAACAATTGGGCACATTGCTGGATCTACTGGAGGCAGTGGAAAGTTGTCTACATCAAACACAAAAAAGTATTAGTCCGTACAGTTGTAAGCATTACATAAACACTTGGCAGACAAATGTTAGAATCTCATAATGAATCTGATTAAAGAAACATGGTTCTTGGAAAAGTTCAGCTTTGTTGATGGATAATTGTAATAGAGAAAGGAAGGAAGGAAGGAAGGAAGGAAGGAAGGAAGGAAGGAAGGAAG